GAGAGAGAGAGAGAGAGAGAGAGAGAGAGAGAGAGAGAGAGAGAGAAATAGACACAGACAGACAGACAGACAGACAGACAGACAGAACTGGGTAAGTCATCAACAGCGGAGGTGCGAGAAGCCAAGAGCTTGACAATCTTGATTGAGAATCTGGGAAGAGAGGAGATGGACTTAATATTAGTATGATATAATATCATAAATTCATAATAATATAGTCATAAACTCGAAGCTTGGCCAAAAAAAGCTACAAGAATGACGTGATATTCGACAACAGCAAACGTAATTGCAATTGCAGCCTTCACCCTCGCTCCCTACTAATCCCTTCTCCGTTAAAATTGGCCACGTGAAAATCTCCATCAAGATGATATACACTACTGTATCTAGCGAAAACATAATCTCCTGTATCTAGTTGAAAACAAGAAAAAAAGGAAAAATAAAACACCTACTGTCTCCAGAAATCCTCCGGTTATTTGTTGACGCCTGTTTTTCGTTCTTTTTCAGGACAAAGATTCAGAGGGAAGGTGTCCCACTGCTCCCTCTCCTAGCCTTCTTCTTCTTCTTCTTCTTCTTCTTCTGCTTCTTCTTCTTCTTCTGCTTTCATTCCTCGAGTGGGGAGTTTTACAATAGAGCCCTGTTTTTCTCAGCACACTCTCTACCTCAGCGATGTTTGATCTCCATCACAACATCAAGCTCTTCATTTCACTAACAGCCCACCATCCCACGAGTCCTTGTCCTTTTCTCTGCTGCCGCTGCTGAAAAGGGAACGTAAGCCACGATCCAAGAGTCCTTTTGCTTTTCTGTCCTTCTGCTTCTTCTGCTGAAGACAGAGGGAAGGTGTCCCACTGGTCCCACTGGTCCCACTGTCAGTACCAGACAACGGACCCCGATGTCCGTCATCATCCAAGAGTCCTGTTCCTATTCTGCACTGCTGCTGACGAGGGAAGGTCAGCCACGATCCCAGAGTCCTTTTGCTTTTCTGTCCTTCTGCTTCTGCTGCTGAAGACAGAGGGAAGGTGTCCCACTGGTCCCACTGTGAGTACCAAACAACGGACCCCGATGTCCGTCATCATCCAAGAGTCCTGTTCCTATTCAGTACTGCTGCTGCTGCTGCTGAAGAGGGAAAGTAAGCCACCGATCCAAGAGTCCTGTTCCCTTTCCTTTGCTTCTTCTGCTGCTGCTGAAGATGCTGAATACACAGGCAAGGTGTCCCACTGCTCCCACTGCTCCCACTGCTCCCACTGCTCCCACTGCTCCCACTGTCAGTATCAGACGACGGACCCCGATGTCCGTCATCATAGCGTCTTAGAATAATAATAGTGGGACCAGTGGGACTCTCACCTCCAGATGTCCGTCATCATAGCGTCTTAGAATAATAATAGCAAGACGCCGAGCCAACTGGAGGGGAGAGTCGTGGCATCAACCACAGGATCGGATGTCCATTCCCAAACACCCGCCTCAGGTTGCTCCATGACCTCTGATTTACAACAGCAGCAGCGCCTGCCCCAACAGCAGACCCTCCTCCTCCTCCTCCTCCTCCTCCTCCTCCTCCGCAGTGCGTCATGGCACTTTGCCAAGAGGACCCGTCGGCTGCCGTCATGCCTTTCATCGCGGCTACGAGTGTGAGGCCATCACGCATCAAGTCGATCTGCTGTAGCAGAAGCAATCCAACGCCAATTATGACACCCACGCTGGCCAGCAGCAGGTACACAAGACCCAGCAGGTGCATCGACATCTCCGGGTCCACAGTCACAAGGGCCTCAAGCAGAGGCTTGAGTGGCAAATTCATCCTGAAGGCGTGTTGAAGCCCTAGCCTCCTTGCGAACGCCTCCTTCCGTGCCCATACCATGGCCGACCATAGCTTCATAAACGCAAGCAGACACATGATGACCACATACGAGGCACCAAGAATCGCATACACAAGAAAGAGGACAAAGTGCCGATGGTTTCGCAGACCCACACAATTACCAATAAAAGGGCAATGGTGGTCCATCTCCATCACACAAGCATTACAGGCACGGCAGTGATGCGCGTTTGATGGCTTAGGCTGCTGACAATGGACACAGAACGTGTACCCCGACAGACCCCGATGACCCACCAGCTGTGGAGACCCAAAGGGCACAAGGGGGGGTCTTCCGGCTTCGACATAACAGCACAGCACGTAGTTAAACAAGGCGTTGAAAGATAGAAATGCCGTGATGAGCGAATGATAAACCAACCAGAAACCTGGCCTTGGGAAAAATAGTACTGGAAAGACGGCTGCGATTCCACCCCCAATTATCGACAACAGCAGCACAATTACCCCCAGCACAACCAGCCGATCTCTCCATATGAAATAGGATTGGCTTGAGCAGCAGTTCTTTGACAAGATGGCCAGCTGCCGCTTAATCAGCTTTGCACTTCTTCCTCTCTGTGGACATCGACGAGTGGAAGTGGAATCATGATGATGAGGAGGAGGATGAGGATGATGACGGCAGGAGGAGTGGAGTTTATGAAGGGGATCTTTCCCGCCAAAGTACCATGATCCGTTCCGTGATGGGCCAGTTTCGTAATCGAGCGGCGGCGGCGGATTTGCATCGTGGCTGAGATGATGATGGAGGAGGACTTGTTGTGACAGAGAATCAGGTGCTTCTGATTGCCTTGGCAATTGGCTGGAGCTTGTCATCATCGGATAGACATCATGATGATGTCCATGATGGTGATGACCGGTACATGATGAAGACTTGAAGTCTCTTGTAATTGCATAGCACCAGCCACATCTGAATTCCGGTTCATACTTGGGAAGCTGCACAACATGGGCACAACCCCAGCAGGTTGTGATGTACGGTTGCGTCGATGTCATTCCCACACACCCGTCGTTGCCTTCATCCGGACTCCTCTCTCTCTCTCTCTCTCTCTCTCTCTCTCTCTCTCTCTCTCTCTCTCTCTCTCTCTCTCTCT